TATATATATATATATATATATATCCATGTCAGTGTAAATTACTTGTACCTGATGATGACGAAACGTTGTACATTTGCTGTTATGTTGAACTTACATTAAAGTTTTTCTTCATTACCCATTCAAGCCATCTCCAACCATTATTAGTCTCAAAGTGGGTTCCTCATCATCAAATTTGAATTCATCACGGCAATTAATCGAGGTTGTGTAAGTTTTTAAATATGTTCTCTCACCTATCCACTACCATAGACCAATCATACCATGAAACTATCCATAAACTTCGTAACCTGAATATAAAAATCATCAAAAGGAGATACGATATTTCCTTTCTCAGACAGTGCTGCTCTGAAAAGCTAATTCCTAAATTTGTGAAGGTCAAGTTATAAAAAACTTAAACCAGTTTTCAGGTATTATCCAAAATATGCAGAAAAAACAACCCTGAATTCCAAATATCAAGAACTGGATGACTTACAAAAACTCAAACAGAAATTAGACCACCAACTAGCCTGCTACCTCAAATCAGATGATTACAGCAATATACAATGCGCTATCAACTAAAACAACTCATTGTTGAATGAAGAAAAGAAGTCTATACACAATAAGAATCTATATCAACTAATGAAACTACAATAACGTGAAGTGAAACACAACAACACAGCTCAGCCTAACCTTGTAATGAACAGATCTGACCAGACACTCAACGACACAGAACTTCGACTTCTAAACAAAGGCCTCATCTTTGCCGTCAACCACGAAACAACTCCATGCCTAGATTTCAAGGAGTATCTAGAAGATCTAGCCAGATGACGAGTGACCCGCTACATAAAAGAACAAAAGACCACCTCTACCTCAAACATCCTCCAACTACAGAAAGAAGAAATCCATGACATCATGACATTTCACAGTAAAAAAAAAATTATCACCAAAACTACAACCTATTAAAGCTAATAGATCCAATGTTATCAATCTACCACTCAAGTAAAAAACCCATAGAAGCATATCTATACTCATTAACAATTTTGATTACCTAAACAAGCCCCCCCCCCCCAAGTTCTTTTACACTCCATACAATCCAATAACTTAAGTAACTTAAGCCAAAAATAAATTATGTAGTCCATTTGTTCATTTTTCCCACTATTTTGACGTCTTTCCTCTAAGGTTGACCAAAACTGCACACAATATTCTAAAGAAGGCCTCACCAAACTTTCATACAAAGTTACAATAATGTTCTTTTTCTAAATTCAGATTTTCTATACAGAACCAATAATTCTACTTGCTATTCTCACCAGAGCTAAACACCCAACAGAGACTTTAGGGTTTTAAGAACAGTAATATCTTAAATCCTCTTACATAAGAAATAGGTTTTTTTCCAAAATTTCCATACTTTAAATGCATAACATTATGATTATCAATCCTAAGATTCATGTTTCACAACCTAAAAGCATTTTAGTATCATTGGTAAATTTAGTAATAATGCTCAAAAATGTCATCCAAGTCATTAAAAATAAAAGAAAAAGGTTATAAAACAAACAACAGAGGGACCCCCATTTTTACCAACTTATAAAATTAACAACAATATCACATTTCACTTACCACCAATAAATAAGTAAGCCAAATTTAAAACCATTCTTGAATTTTCTACCAATCCTGGAATAAGTATTTAATTTACTAACCAACATCCTGTAGATCAGCCTACTAAAAGCTTTGTGAAATCCAAGGTATACAAGTTAAAACATCAATGTAAAACCAGCTGGGATTCCCTAATCTATAAGTAAAACTTGGATTACTACTTTACAAATTCAATAGTAATAATGCTCTCACAAGCCAATACCTAAGCTGTGAAACAAGAATTATATAATAGCATAAATAAATAAAAGCTGTGTATTTAACAAAAGCAGGTTATTCAGTACAATACACACTAATCCTTTACTCATACTACATTCATACTTAAGTTTGTCTCGCACATTACACGGTCAGTGTTCACTTGCTTGGTCTAAGTTAGTAATTTAACTGAATGTGCACAGGTAATCTTGTATTGGAGAAGGAATGTTGACTATAATTCCGAATTTACTGTGTGTATCCTGCAGTCAAAAGTACTAGTCTTTATACACAAAAAATCAGGTGTTACAAAAGTATTTGTACTCAAGTTAATTGTGAATTAACATCTAAGTGTGTCACTTAGATTCTGACAAGTTGAAGTGCAAGGTAATGTTCATGTGAAAATAAAAACTCTTTTGTCCATCATACACTGATACAGTTTGTACATTGTATTTGTATAACCTCTTGAAGTTGAACCTCCAAAATGCACATCGTTTTTTCAGTATCCCTATAATATATATACTGTATCTGGTACCTACTCTCCTCTACCACGAACTGTTGCTAAATCATCAATGTAGGGTAAAACGAATAAATGATAACTCTGGCATCAAATACATAATTAATGCCATGTTGAATGGCACTGTAAAAAGTCGTGGCATGTGCACTTTGACCCCAACCCATGCACATAAGGTTAATATTATTAATAATATACCCGGCTCAAATTCTCTGATATATTACACGTACTAATCATTCTTTCTTGCTTGTAATTATTGCATCTTATGTTTCATAATATGAAAACCTTAAAAATTATGAAAAGTATAAAAAATAAATATTAATTAAATTCGTTTACCAGTGGAAACACACATTCAACGTACTTCTTATAATACTTTCGCTTATTTACTTCTGGCGCCATCTGTGTAAATGTTTTGAGTTTTTCATGGAGTATTGGAAATTAAATAGTATACAGTAATAATTTAAAAAGTTGGGAAACAAAAATATGAAATATGTGTAATATTTACAAATTATGAAATAAGATATAATTTTGACAGTTTTGAATTTTAATTCTCAGTACATGCACATCTAATATTATTGCTGGTAATGCTTCTATTTTATTTTTAATTTAGACATTGTGTCAATGTCTTTTCAATTTCACTCATTGACCTTTGTGGCACAGCGGTAAGTCTGTTGGCTTATAATGTTTAAAATCGCATTTTGATACCTGTGTGATCACATCACAGTTGGCCCATTCTGTATCTTTGTGCTTAACGACGAACAAACAGACAAATTCACTCATCTATATCTAGGTAGGTATATTCAGGTATGTATCTTTTCAAAAGTTTCATGCAACTGTTCTGTATATAGTTATGACACTCTCGTTAACAAATATTGAAAGGTCAGAATCATAGGTGCTAATCCTTCTATTTAGGTGTCCCGCGATGGGACAATGGTAAGTATTTGGATTTACAACCCTAAGATTATGGATTCGATTCCACTCGGATTTTTAAATCAAAATTTTAAATGTTTTAGATATTTAGTTAATGATTCAATTATTGTAATGTGTATACCTGCAAATATAAATGTTATTAATTCTCAAGAGTTAATTTTTATATCATTATGGAAGTTTTTAAAGTTCATTGTACCATTTTTTTCTTTGTGTGATGGGAATGTTCTTGATACTTCAGAATACAGGAAGGAGTGGTGTTGTAGGCTATGCTTTTATCTTTTGTTTTAATTCAGTGAATTTTGACATCACAAGATGAGTGCATAACTGAACGTCTGTAATTTGTTCTCTGACCATTATAAATGCAGGTACCAGTTTTAATAAGTTAAAATTATTATGACAGAATTTGTATTAATATAGAGTACCGACAGAACTCGTAGATAATAGGAGTCAAACACTAATTTACATCGAGGATTTCTTGCAGCAAAATAAAAAAAGCCCTTGTTGCTTATCACATACCTCACGTTTAACTGGACTCATTGTTTTAAATGGTTAGCTTCTAAGTCTTTCTCAACCTCGCCATGCACAAAAATAAATATTCGTTTCTGGTAGCGAATAACATGGTCATAATTTCCATCAAACCCTAAACGCTAGTATTTTTGTTTCATCTTCATATTTAATTCCTGTATATCTGTCCATTACTGTATCTACTCAAAAGCTAGAAAAGTTTTGGGTACAATATTACTGACTTTGCGAAAATTAATGGGTGCCATCGCGAAGACATGCTGTCACTGTCAATAAGTTTTGCAAGCTTTCGGTAAGCATAAGTTATACATGTTTCTAATTTATCGATTTGTTATAGGTTTTGTATAGTAACATAAAGTATTGTTACGTCTCCGTTTGTTAATTAACTTTCCGTAACTTCGTTCCGACGAAACTTTAGCGACACAAGTCCTTACTTAATAAAACTGGTTTATTCTTTCCGAATATAACTTTACGATACTGTTACGTCTCCGTTTGTTAATTAACTTTCCGTAACTTCGTTCCGACGAAACTTAAGCGACACAACTCCTTTCTTAATAAAACTGGTTTATTCTTTCCGAATATAACTTTACCGATACACTTAATCCCAATACTCGCGTTATAACAAACAGTATCACGAACGAACGTTAACTTCAACAATACCGTGTGACTGCAGTTCAATTACTCACTATCTACACACACATTACCTTCTCTTCTTTTATATACCAGCGTACCCTATT